ACGCGCTTGTTTCACAAGTAGGATCTTTTCCGCCTCCGGCGGTCGCGCGCTACTGCAAGCGAGAGGGCTCTGGTTAGAGCAATACTACGGGCATTTTCTGCTCGATACGCTAGGGACCCCAGATACACCTTACTAGACGTATTTTTGACCGTAGAATCGATTAAAAGTGGTTTCGAGATATTTGGACTGCTTTTCCCCGGGTAAAATTGCAACAAATTTTGGGGCCAAAAATAGGCCAAAAAACCATGTTTTTTGATATTTTGAGCAAGTTAATTTTGTTGGCATGTCGGCATGAAAATTTGCATTACATGGAGATAGTTATAACACAGCCGCTCAAGATGGTGTAAAAATAAAACAAATCCCTAATGTTTTTCTTCGGGTAAAAATCCAAAAAAGTGGTCAACATTTAGACTTTTTTGCACGCACTTCATTTTTGGTACTTATGTGCTATATTTTGGAAATTAAAAATACATATCTTGTAATAACGACTAATTTAAATATATTGATTATAATTTGGACCAAAAAATTCATTTTAAATGGAACCAAAATTTTAGGCGCGCCGCGCATATTTTCGAAAATTTACAGCGTAGTATGAAAATCGAGCGCTAAAGCAAATACTATCATATTTTCACAAGACACAGTGGGCTGTGAGTGGGGGTCATGCTAGCATAGGGTATTTTAGACCATCACACATGCCCCTAACTTTGTTTCTAAGGTAATTTGGGTACAAAAATACGATTCCAATCATTTACAGGGCCGAAAATGTCTCAGAAAAAATTTTTGGGCCGATTTTAAGCAATCTTGTAGTCAAAAAATAGGAGGCTGATCCCAGGAAAAGTTGTTTTTTTAGAGGTTTAATCAATTTTAAAGCTCTTTTATGAACTGTAAACGAAGGACAGCTATCTTAGGAACTCAAATCTTTTTGAATTATGAAAAAATATTGATCAGAACAAAAGTTGTGCCCATTTATATGACCAAAATTTTCTGAAACACCAAAATTGTTCCTGTTATTTTCAAAAATTTCGTTTAAAATCACGATTTTTTGGATTTTTATCAATTTTAACTATAATAATTGTGATATTTTGATTTTTCATCCATATGCATCTGGTCTAGGATGCAAAAAATGCCACAAACATGGAGAATAACTAAAATATGTCAATTTAATAGCAAAATTGAGCTCATAAATTATCTAAAAATGCAGCAAATTTTACCCAATTTTTGAGTTTCTTAATTTTGTAAACAGAGTTGCCCAAAAGTGCCCAAAGTGATTCTTATTGCATCTGATAGGGAATTGTCTAAGCTTTCTGATGATACCATGCATTATACCGAACTATTGCAAACCAACAACGATTTCTGTCGTTAAATACCCCAAAAATTGCCTAAAATACACGCCATAAAAAAGGCGCGGTCAAAAATCAGGTGAAAATGTTAAAGTCACACAGTTTTTTTTAGATGGCTGAGTATTCTTAAGTACTATACTGTATTTCAATTATTAAAAACTGCCTTGATCAGGCATTTTAGCCCAAAATAATAAATATTAGGCAATTTTTGGCTAAAAAAGGCAAAATTTCTTGACAGTGAAAAATGCTATTTTTTCACGCGACGCCATTTTGGCATCTTGCAAAGTTTTTAATTACGGTTTTTTGCATGAAATCGGGCTAGCGTTTTACAATAAGGAAAGCTTATTTTCAAAGAAATTTAAGAAAGTCGATTTTAGGCCTATGCTAGCATGGTAGCCCACTGTGCAAGAATACCTTGGTTGTTTTTTAGTGTTATTGTTGCAATTCGAAACTCCTTTTCACCCTATTTGGCTATTTTTGATGTGTAATCTGATTACTAACTATGTTTTCATGTATTCTCATTGATGTGGAGTACCCATTCATACTCCTATTTCTTGGCCTATTTTTTATTTTTTCATGCTGATTTGGAGGCCATTAAAGCATTTGACCCAATCAACAAAAGTTTCAGTTGTATATCTTTTACGGTTTTTGCGGAAAGTCGCGTTAAAGTTGATGCCGTGGTGTCAGTAAAATGGCACGGAACCATATATATCGTCTCGCTTTATATATAGTAAGATTTCCTATCGTTCTAAAGTCTAAAGTCGGCTCTATTTGTGACATACTTCTTATCTTCTACACAGTTTATCGTGGTTTGTTGATACTGAGTTGGTTTAATTAATACTATACGATTACTATGTAGACCAGCAGTACAGTGAACATATTTATAATAATAATAAATAATAAATACAACATTTATAAACCGCCTTATAGCTAAATCATATAACTCGATATAATTTAATCCTGGAGATAAACTCCAGTGCTTTCTAAAGCGGCTCTTACATTAACTGAGCTTAGTTTAATTGAAAATTAGACATGACAAGTTCATTTTACCTATGTAAATGCAAAATCAATCAAATGCTAGAGAAAAGAAGTATGTTTTAAGTTTGGTCTTGAAAGATGTAACTGACTCAGCTGATCTTATGTCGTATGGCAAGGAATTAAATACTTTAACTGCACAGTGACTAAAAGCTTTCTCTGTGTTTACATAGTTAGGAGAGGGCGGAAAACTAAGGTAAAAATAATCAAAAATATAAGTTCACTGTACTGCTGCGTCACTTGTCAGACGCAGATTATGATCTGACTTGCTCAGAACATGAATTATTTCTGTCTGCTCAGGGGGTTGGGGGATGCACAATGTGATTGTGTCCAGATAATGTTCCAGGTTGCTTCCTGCAACGGTCAGGCTCATTATTTAGAAGTAGATAATTTATGTAGTTATGGATATAACCCAAAATCAGGGAGAATATTTTAGGCCCATATAAGCTGCCTATAGAGTTTTTCCGATACACCTGATTTTACTGGGAGTAGCTCCTGATGTATATGTCAGGGTCGTATACTACTTGATTGAATGAGAAAATCATCAGATCATATCGAGTCACTGATGCATTTCAAGGCAAGCAATGTGATATTAGTTGAAGATTTATGTAATAAATGCTGATTTTCATCGAACAGACTGTAAAGTGGCCAATTCCAAAAACTCTTACTTACTATATCTCAGCATCTGAGTTGTTCATTGTACTAGTACCATTAGCAGTTTTTACAACTTCTCAAAGATTTTATGAGAATCTTGCACAATTTCCCCTGAGACGTAACAACACTGAGTGATTCCACCACCTGGCCTGCTACGGATCAGCTTTTTCGTGCTCAGGGGTAATGGGTAAAATAAAAACTTTAGCCAGTACCTATGATGTTGGGGCCTAGCCTATACTAAGGATTAAATTTAAGAATTTGAAAAAAATTGAATGTCCTGCACAGCAGATTGAAGCTTCTTAAATTATTTTTTATTCTTATTGTATTGCTGTGTAAATTTGATTATAATTCTAATTCTAATAATGAATCTTCTCTACCAATTGATAACAGTCACATTACAGGTATTCAATAGCTATAATGGAAGGAAAAGAGGAAAATCAAGAAAAATCAGAGACTTCAAAAAAACGCTCTCTTGAAGAAAGTCTTGATAACGAAGAAACTAGTGAATCTGCAGCTCCTGACAACAGAAAAATTCTAAAAACTGTCAAAGTAATACGTGTGCTCTGTCCTAATTATGCTGTTGGTTCAATCCTTGGGAAAGGTGGGGAACGTCTAAAAGAATTTAAAGATTCAACGGGAGCTAGAATCACAGTATCTAAGCAAGGATGTATGTTTCCTGTAATAAATGAAAGATATGTATCTATCATGGCAGATCTTAGTACCATACAAAGTGTTGTGAAGTTCATCCAGCTGCGCATTAGAGAAGATGAATTCCAGCCTAAGGATGAAAGGGAGTTAGCCCGCTTTGAGAAAAGGAAAAGAGTGTGTAAAGTTGTTGTATCTGACAATGTAATCGGTAAAATCATTGGAAAAGGAGGAGACAATATCAATGAATTGAAAACTAGACACAATGTTATGATAAAGACTACAAATAAAAAAGAGCTCCCTCATGAACTACCTGAGCGAGTTATAACAATAGAAGGTGACCATGAAAAAGTGAATGCATGCATTGATGAAATTATTGCTGATATTCATGAAGATCCAAGGTCAAACTTAGATTACTTTGTTGACTATGAAAAGTATCTTCGCCATACTCAAAGTTCATCTAGCACCTCTCACCGTGGACCACCAATGGGTTACAATCCAACTCCACCCACAGGATATAATGGATACAACTATCCCCCTTATCCTTATGGCAGCTATCCAAACCAGTACCCACCATATTCATATGATCAGTATGGACAGTACCAATACAGCCAATACCAGGCATCTTACAAGCAGCATAGCGATCAATACAGACATCACGATGATTCTAGAAGCAGCAGCAAGAGTGATTCATTTAGAACAGGATATTGACATTTTTTGCATTATATTTAAAACTTTAAATAAGCTTATATCTATTAATGTATGTAACTCACCCTCTGCACTGTACATATACACATGGTGTACATGATTGCATTTTGAAGATTTAAACAAATTAATGGATTTACCGACCTTGTCAAGTTTGGTACATTATTATTACCATTTTGAATCCATTTGGTATTAAGGTTATGTTATTAAAACATTGCATTAACATTTACATTTTTTATGTTGAAATGTTTAATGATATATACTTTATTTTAAGTTTCAAATCATATTTCACCAAGATTTGACTATTATGTTGCTTATCAATACTGTATTTGAAGTTTATATATTAATGATTATGCCTGAAATGGCTTATTTTATACGCATGCAATATTATTTTTGACTTGGGCTCCTGTAAGTCTTAAACAATACAAAATGATATTATGTAATAGAACAGATGTTTAAAAAGATTTGGTATCTGTATTACAAGTATTTGCAAAAGGATTAAGTATCTGTATTATTTGCAAGAAAGTATCTATTAATTGTACTAATATTGGAATTATCGTTTTATTGTGAAAACAGATTGCATCCTTTACTTGTCTCAAAAATTCAAATGATCTCCAGAATGAAAATTATCATGATTATTATATGTCCGGCGAAGATGACCTCAGCTCTATTGTCTGAGCCCAATATTTTTAACATTTTAAGTATAATATATCAATATATCATTTCTAGAATTAAATTGTTAAATTGCAGTGCCTTATGATTAAATGAGTAGCTCTGTCTGGGTTCTCTGTCCTAATGGACGCCGAGTCAGCATCGCATTTGGACCAAATAGTCCTTTAAATTCTATCAAACAGCAGGTTAGTACTTTTAATTCATGTTATATGTCGGTTTTTCGTGAAAAATGTATAGTAACATAGAAAATACATTTAAAATTAAAACTGCTGTTTTTGTATCTAGAGCGGGGGTTTTAGGTGTTGTTTCACTTACTAGCCATTTTCTATAATTATATCCATGTTCCAACATTGATTTATTTTTTGTAGGCTTGTGAGAAACAAGGCTTTGATCCAGCTAAATATGGAATGAGAAAGGAAGACGCAAAGAAAGCCTTTGATCTCTCACTGCCTTTTAGATTGTCTGGCATAGCTAATAAGTATGTTGTATCATGGCTTTGTTTTCCTGTTTATTTGAAAGTGTGCAATTCCCATTTAAAGGAGATAAAATTTTTAGATCATATAAAAATAAAAATGTCCGAAATTAAATTTGTTTATCATAGCGCTAATTTAACCGTTACCATTCACAGAGCTAAACTGGAGCTATTTGAAGATATTCAGAAGATTGAGGTTGTAAGTATTGCTCTTCAACTAGAATCCGGAGGAAGAGTTATGGGCAAGATAGCAAATACTGCTACAATTGCTCAAACTATACAGTGTAAGTAATGGTAAGTAATTTAGTTAACAGAACTTCAAATTTTATAGTGAACTCATACAACCGTCATACAACCGTCATACACATAGAATGATAAAACTCCAATCCAAGTGAAGGTATTGTAAGTAGGTAGTTGAGAGTGCTGGTACTGGAGCTTAGTGTTCAATACAAAGGTAAAACTAGTTACTAAAACTCTGGTATTAACCGGCAGCCATGATCCCAAATAAACCTTGATAACAGAAAATCGGATGGGTTTGACTGTTCTAATCACATCTTCTCGCAGCGATTGGTAAAGATTTAGGCGCCGTTTCATCTCTCATGTACTTACAACGCAAGATCGGAGCTGAGAAATTTGGAACCACTACTCTAGCAGACCTGGGAATTTTCAAGGTTCATGCCATTTTCTTACTCCGACATCAAAAATACTTTCTTAGGCAGTTTTTAAAACTTCTACCAATACAGCGACTAGTATAGTACAGGGGCCACCCTGTAGTAGTGTTATTCAGTGTAGATTTGGTCTCGATTGTCAAATGTTCCGATTAAATTGATATTTTATGGTCCAACTTATCTCATGTCTTACCTTCAGGGAAGTGCTTTGCTGCGTTTACAAGAAGTCAAAGAGGAATCATCACAACCAGAAACTGCATCTCCCAAACCTCTTCCTAAAAAGGATGTCCAGGATGTCCAGGGGATGGAAACGGAGACAACACGCCCGGTTATTGTCGAGGAGTCAAGTGTGAGCAGCAACCCCTCAGAAATGGAGGTTGAGGAAACAGACTTTTTCGAAAAAGTAAACCGTTGTATGGCCAAACTAACAGAGGAACAGACCCCCGTTAGAATGGAAGAGAAAAGGAAACCTGTTAGCAATGTGCCAATTTTGTTTGATCCATCTGCTAGTAGTGTTGAAATAGAGTAAGTCAGTCAATCATTTGTTGGGTTATTGTTGTCATCAAATGCTGAATCAAACATTATAACTCATTACTCATTCTATGATCATCTGTTAGGAGTAACGCAATATATTTTCAGTCGGATGGAAGAATCGGATGACTTTTTCGAGTTTACTGACAAAGATCTGAAATCGATGTTGAGAGATTTGCACAAGATATCAGAGAGAGAATTCCGGTTCCGACAGCCTGAAAAAGAGAAAATTCTTCCCGATCAAGTTGTTTTTAGAATCAGGTAATTATTTCACCTGATCATGTAGAATATCTTTAGTTTAAAAAAAGTATTTAGTAAAACAAAGTATTTTATTTATTAGCAGTGCAATCAATTCATATGATATAATTATAAGAATATAATAGTATGTCACACCTATTTAACTTTCACGTTATTGAATTATTTGTAACGTCAAATGCTTGAAAGGGTGATTGTTTATTAACTGTGTCAGACGTTAGTTAGATCTGTTAGCATGAACATCTTACTACACTTAAATAGTTGATAAAATGATACTCATGTTGATTCCTTGACCTCAAAACTTTGTGTAATTTTCCCATATCCAAAAACCCGCATTCTCGCATTCTAAGAATGTAGGAAATTTTTAAAAGTAGGAAATTTTTGACAAAAAGTAGGAAATTCGAGAGCCAACTCTGAGAATTTTCGATAATATTTCAGTAGGAATTTAAGTGAAAGAGCAGACTAAAAGTTGCTGGACCGTTATTTAAATGTCCTCAGTCAGGGATCCACTGATCCAGTCTATCAAATTTCGTTTCACAGACCAAAGTTTGTTGGCTATTAGCTACAAAATCTGTGCATCAAGTAACCACTAACCAGATGCTAATTATTGGGGCATTTTCGCGTACACGACATAAATAGTTGTCATTATTACTTTATTAACATTTTACTATCTACTTATCTAGTCTATGAAACCGGATATGTCTACAGTGTCACCCGATATCTGTATTGGCAAGCAGTAGCATATACACATCACGTCTTCAATGTGTGTATCACACTGCACACACCCAGCCCAAATTCGTGTGGCGTGAGAAAATATCAGAAAAACAGGGCGTTTTAACTAATCTGTACGATGATGCTAGAATGGGCGTGAGAATTGGACTTTTTCTAGTTTTTTAATTAGTCGCTCTGCCCGCTTGCTTTTGTTGCTTACATTGGGTTGTTGAACTTCCTATTAATCATGAATCGTCCAAAGTTCAAGTCTAAATCCGAGGTCCAAAACCACCCATGGGGGGATGGGGGCGGCTATAGAAAACTTCTGCAAATCCCAATATAGACTACCATTCCAGTTTTGATAATAGCATTATCAATCATGTAATGTTGTGAACGGTCATCAATGCAATTGTAATAACTTTATGTCAGGAGTTCAAAGAACATTATATAGTATTATGAGTTGATGTAATACGTCTAAACATGCATAATGCATAAGCGTTCTTTGTTGCGTTTCCTATCTTATTTAAATAGTAAATACTAATAGTCATTATTATATTTTTGGAAAATTTAAATTCCTTGTTTCTTGAATATTTGGTCTCATACTTGCTTCCTTCTCCAAATTCCCTTAACCCTGTATTAGTTTATAGCTTGAAAGCAGAAAGTGATGGTAGTAGATGAGAAAACATTTTTGCCAAAATTATAAACTTTTGATACTTCATGCTGTCTCCTATTTCGTGCTTTAGTTAAGCCAAGTGTTTAGGGATTCTAGAATCCAGACAATTTATTCCAATAAAAATTGAAATCAGAAAATAGTATGCTAAAATCGTTCTCCATTGTCAGATTCGTTCCAGGAGGCCAAATCTAGTTTAAATTTCCAAAATTTTCGGGTGCTTCGCCCCCAAAAGTAACCTAGGATTATCTATTAAAAAGCATTCCGGGCCCTAAAAAAGTAAAATTGAGAATCTGGAATCCGCCATGAAAAATCTTTGAACCGCGCGCATACAAAGACTTTTTATGCGAGCGAAGCGAGCGGGCCACAGAAAACGAAAAAATTGAGAATGTAGGAAATTAAAAATTTTTTGGATATGGGGTAATTTTTTCAATTCTACTAAGCTGTTAGAAAATCTCAGTTCTGACCGACCGAAAGTTTTATTGCATGAAAGTCTTCTGTCATACAAGCTGTACTCGGAGACTCTTTTTGTGAACTATCAGGTGACGTGATACCTATTACTTTTCAGATTACCTAACGGACTGATGCTACAAAACGTTTTCGAAACAAAATCCAGCACCACAGACTCCCTCTACAAATTTGTGGGCGACTACCTGACTGAGGATAGCGTTGAAAATCTCTCAATCTATCAAGCCCCACCCAAACGACTCGTCAAACCAGGACAAACTTTGATAAACGCTGGACTAACTCTGACAACCCTGTTGCACGCTGGTGGTGACATTGTCATGAGACCCGATCTAACTGTAGAATCTGATCCTTCGGGCGCTTTGGGTCAGCTCACTGATGTAGTCGGTAAACCAGACATTTTAAATGACAGCCCAAATTCGAGCAGACATGAACTTCCTTCGCCTGTAACTAGATTAGATGATGTACAGAGCACTGGGAGTAGTCGGCCAAGGGGAGATAAACCTGTCCCCAAGTGGTTCAAATTGAAATGAATGTTGTTTGAATTTTTATACAATATATGGTATGGTGAAACTTTTAGTTTTGTATTGAAGGGCTATGAAAGGGGATATTACAATGATTGCAATAATTGTGTCGGCCAGAATTATAGCATTGTGAGAATATAATATTAAAAAGGGTTTTAGTTGCTGGCCAAGTTTCAGCTTGTTTTCAGTTATCAGACATGTATGTCTTCACAATGCGCCACTTTATCCTTAGTGGCGAATGGGTTGTTCTCATTATATTATCTTAAACCGGGGAATATGGAATATGTATGGTAGCTGATTCATTCGTAACTGCTATTAAGGGTGACTTAACGCTTGAAAAAAACGTAATATATATAATATGGATAATTTCTAGGGTTGTTTTTGGAACTTCGTAACTGGGATAGTAGTTGCATTATGGAACGGTTGCTTGAATGCATTTTACGTTGATGAATTTTGGCTATAAATAACGATTCACTGTTGTTTAAAAATTTGACTTGTGTGTGTCGTATTGTATGGTTAATATTAACTTATTTACATCTCATAATTTGATTCGGATTATATGAATCGCAATTGGAAGTCTTCTTCTAGATTTGTAGAATGTAGATACATGTGTTTTACTTCGGCTTTTCGTTCATCGTTCATTAACAAAGTAGGAAGTACAAAATGCAGCCTATCGATATAAATTCTCCAAGCTTTGCTTAAAATTACCATGTTAATTTTACATTGTACACAATACGAGATATCAAAAGGCTCACATTGAATATCCTCATTGTCAATATCCATCTCTTTTCTCCAGGTGGATCATGCTGCAGCCCTCTTACAGCTCAGATTCTTCTGACAATGAAGATGACTACCTGGAAGAGGAAGAGACTGAAGAGGAGAAGTTTCTCTGTTTGTTTTGTGACATGGTTCTCAGCTCGAGTGGACACCTCATGGACCACTCCCTAAAAACACACAAACTGAATCTTGTTTCGGCTTTCAGTGAAACGTCCTTCTATGGGACCATTAAAGTGATAAACTATACTCGGGGTAATAAATGTAGTGTTGAGGAGTTTAGTACAGTATTGAAGAGGTCTGAAACGTTGGAAGATGAATATTTGAAGCCCTGTCTAAATGATGATTCTTTGTTGATGATTGATTTTGAAGAACTTTCACACGCCCAATCTCAAAGTTGTGCAGCGAATGGTAAAGAGAAGAATGCAAATGGTGAATCAAACAATGGAAAGGTTGAATTTCTACAAGCTAAATTAGAGCAAATGCAACAGGCTTACATGGAACTACTCGAGAAAACTGATAAATCCAACGCACAACTGAGACCTGCAACGGACTCCCACTATTTTGAGAGCTACGCAGATTACACAATCCATGCGGAAATGCTGCAGGACAAAGTACGAACAGAGGCTTACAGAGACTACATCTACAAGAACAAAGATATCTTCAGCGACAAGGATGTATTAGATGTGGGCTGTGGCACAGGTATCTTATCAATGTTCTGTGCCCAGGGCGGAGCCCGGTCTGTTATGGCAGTTGACAACTCTAAAATCGTGGACAAGGCCAGGAGCGTTATTAGATCAAACAACTTGTCTTCTAAGATTGAGGTTGTAAAGGGGAAAGTTGAAGAAATTGAGGTGGACAAAAAATTCGACATTCTCATATCAGAATGGATGGGATACGGTTTGTTGTTTGAATGCATGTTAGACAGTGTCATAACAGCCAGGGACAAATATCTTAAACCAGACGGTCTGGTCGTTCCAAACAGAGCGTCTATGTTTGTGTCAGCCGTAAGTGATGAGGTGAGTTATCAGCACAGGTTTCACTTCTGGAATGATGTCTATGGGTTCAAAATGAACGATGTTGTTCCAGATCTTTACAAAGAAGCTGTTGTTGAGTGTGTTGACAAAGATAATGTCATTTCAGATAATTGTGGGTTTAAACACCTCGACTTGCAAACCGTTAAAACGCCTGAACTTGAATTTTCCAGGCCATTCCAACTCCAAATCAGTTCATCCTCAAAGTTAACTGCCTTAGTCGTACATTTTACCTGCTTTTTTGATGGAGATGTTTCAATCGTTTTGGACACCTCGCCTGAAAGTGAAACCACTCACTGGTTACAAACTATACTCTACTTGAAATGTCCTACTGATGTTTTAGAAGGTGATGTAGTGCACGGACTTATCGCGTTTAATAAGGACTCCACTGTTAAGAGAGGATATGTGATTAAAATAGAGGGTGCAATAAGTCGGGATAGTGCAGTGGTGGGGAAGTTCAACCAACTGTATCATCTCCACTGATTCACTGAACGAATTTTATTTCTGTGGTTTTTAATTCTTGTTGTGAGTAATTTATTTTCTTTTATCGAAACCACTAGTCCATCATTGGCTTCATGATAATTACGATTTAATGTGGTCACGCCAGGTTTGACCGAGGCCAAAATAAAATCACATGACATATTTTAAGAATTTCTAGATCAACAATTGGTAAAAGTAACTTTCCAAGATAACAATATCATCACACAAACTGCATGCTAGGTCACAAGATGCCAAGTGCTGATACTCAAAGCGCAACAGTGTCATGGGTCGATCCACAAGACACAAAAGACATCGACCAGTACATTGCCAACTTGTGGGACGTCAAGGAATTCGACATCTACACCGAACGGGATGTCCAGAAAATAACAGAAATCATAAACTTTTACCAGGAGCAGCCTCATGTTCTGGACCCACATCTTCAGGGATGGATAGACAAGTTACTCGTTGTAGGACTATCCGATAAGGTGTCCCAAATGGCCATAAACTTGGCCTTCAAATACTTATATCTGTTAACGAAAGTAAGAGGACAGAAGTATATAGTGAGATTGCTTCCTCACGAAGTTGCGGATATTGAGTCAGTTCTGAGCCTGTTGGAATCAGAAAAGAGTGATATTTGGCATGCAAAGTATGTGCTGTTCCTGTGGCTCAGTATTTTGGTGCTCATTCCGTTTGATTTGAAGAGGCTGGATGGAGAGAGGGAGGAAGGATGGAGTATTAGGCGTATGCTGAAAATTGCCACCGTAAGTTCAGATCCGTCAGTATTTACTTTCTAAATTAGGGAGCTTCTACTTCTTAATATGATAAATTTTGTGTTTACAATTACAAAAGGCAGTTTATTCTTCTCACATTTAGCTTTTTTTTAACATAACCATAATGATCATTCATGATTTTAAAATACTTTGGAGTTTAAGTTATAAGTATATTTATATAGTATATTTATAGCCACATCTTCTGAATGCTATCTGGATATTGGTGTACCTCAAGGATCCATTTTAGGACCACTACTGTTCATATTGTATACCAGAGATCTTGAGGAAATTGTCACAAAATATGGTTTCTCGATACATTTGTATGCAGATGACACACAGGTGTACTTTACTTTCGATGTTCACAGTTCTAATCCTGATTTAACAGCTGTGAAAAATTGCTTTCTGGAGATAAAGCAATGGATGACAGTTAACTTCCTAAAACTGAATGATGAAAAAACAGAGTTCATTGATATAGGACCATATGTCAGCCCAATCCAGACAATGGATTTAGGAGACCTCTCAATCTGTCCTGTTAGCAAGGCCAAGAACCTGGGATTCCTTTTCGATCACCAAATGAATCTGGACTCTCAAATAAATGCTGTCTCCAAAGTATGTTATTTGAATCAAAGGGACTTATCAAGAATCGGTTCAAAGCTTTCCCATGAACTAAAAGTTCAGTTAGTTCACTCCAATATTCTCTGTTTCATAGACTACTGCAACTCAGTCTATTATGGTATAACAGAAAAGAATCTCCATAAGCTACAAAAGATACAGAACAATGCTGCTAGATTTATCTTTGGTCTTTACGGAAAAAAGATACGTGAACCTATCATGCCTTACCTCAAAAAGCTCCACTTTTTACCTGTTCGGTTCAGAATCAAGTTCAAAATATCATTTCTGGTCTTCAAGTGTCTTAATAACATAGCCCCTCAGTACTTACAAGGACACATCAATCTAAGGGTAGTACGAAGACAAAGTTCCAGACTAGATGATGACTTTTATTTGTTGAAAGTTCCTCCTGCTCCTCATTTTAGACGAACGGATGCTGCATTTATGTTTTGTGGACCAAAAATTTGGAATGAACTACCCTACTCAGTGAGATCATTATCATCTGTAGAATGTTTTAAAAATGCGCTAAAGACGTTTTATTTCCACCTAGCTTTTGATAATATTTCTAATATTTGTCCATAAAGTCTGAACTGATATGAAAGTGCATAATTTTGGGAACTTCATACAAATATTTGTTCATAAAATCTGAACTGATAAAAAGTCCATAATCTTGGTATTTCAACACTAAGTCTCGCTTGAATGACTTAAATGTACATCTTTGTTGGGTATATTTTAATGTCGAAGCGTGTAATAAATGTTAGAATTTATTTATTTATTTATATAGTATATTTGTATACTTAATAACATCTCACCATCTTTTTATCCCAGGATCGTATTGAAGGAGCGGACAAGTCGAGCGAAGCAGCAGCGCTGGTAGTTGCTAAATTGGTGACCAGACCCGACCTCCATACTCAACATCTGAAGCCAACGATAATTCAGCTCATTACTGACTGCAAGGCTGCTGAAAATGATGCCGTTTTTGTAAGTTTGGTTGTTTGCTCAGTTCTGTAGTCCCTATGTTGGGTATTTTCACTAGACATCTTGAAACTTTAATAAAAAGATATATTTATCAATATATAGATATATGTTATTTACAATTTCTCCCGGAATATTGACTAATATTGAGGATGTCGCTGCATTTCGCTATTATCTGAATCAACCACCCGCAATATGGAGCGGGTAACCACTACAGTCGCTTTACTCTTATCTCTCTCTTATCTCTAAATAATCACTCACTTACATAAATCACCAGGGTTCAAAAACAAAGCTGGGAACGCTGACTGCCTTGTGTCGGATATACAAGTTGGGCAGGAGAGACTATATACTTCCCCACTCACAATACGTGCTGCAACAACTGGAGAGTTTGTCTCTGGGACTCAACCAGAACACCCTGCTGAGGAAGTTTGAGACTAAACTTGCCCAACGGATTGGTTAGTTGTATGTTTAACGGAGTGTTTTGTGTGTTGTTACGGGGGGGGGGGGGGGGGGGGGGGGGGGGGGGGAGTCATCACGTCGACTAAGTGTAGTTTTGGATATTTTTCACTAGACACACCCACCCCCTTTGCGGTACTAACTGTTTTTTTGGATAATACGTAAGACACCCACCCCTTTTGCCGCCTTTTGCGGTACTAACTGTCGAAAAATCGTGGTACTAACTGTTTTTTGATATATAGAATAAGATACCCACCCAGAAATTGCTTTTTTTTAAAGAGATCATTTAAACTTTAAAGGAAGACTTTACAAAATTTTAAAAATTAAAAAAAAACCAAAAAAAACTTTAAAAAACCTCAAAACCCATTCCCAAAATTGAAATTTGAGGTAAAATGGGTTTTTTTTGGGGTTAGAACCCCCTTTAGTACCATGTACTAACTGTTTTTCTGGAAAAATGGGCAGTAGACCCACCAGTTAGTACCATGTACTAACTGTGTTTTTGGGAGAAAAAATTACCCACCCACCAACGTGAAGTCCGGCACTTGGTACCTGATCCCCCCCCCTCCCCCGGTTGTTACAGAGTGCAGCTGGTGGTGATGCAACGTTTTGTTGTATTTTGGCAACTTGATCTACCTCAAATAGTATCTATTCAATATTGATACGAAGTGAGTTCAACATATTAATTCTCTCCAGGCATCTCCTTCTTAGCCCCGCGAGTTGCTAAGTGGCGTTATACTCGCGGTACCCGACTCTTAGCTGACTCTCTTGGCAAGGGCAGTGATGAGAAAGAGAAAGAGAAAGAGAAAGAGATTCAAAAGAAAGTTGAGGATGTTAAAGATCCTGAGAATGAGGACGAGGACGAGGAGGGGTATGAGATTCCTGATGAGATCGAAGAAGTTCTGGAGGTTCTTGTCTTTGATTAAGATATACTACGTTACACCTTTCTGTGGGACATTATTATGATGGGTGTGTGTGTGTGTGGGTGTGTGTGTGTGTGTGATTGAATCTGATAAATTAAAAACAAGCAGATACTTGCAACTCAATTTGAGGAAGGCCACACAGGTCCACATTGTATTAAGTTTATCTAACTTTACAAGCCATTTTCCGAAGCCACCATAATTATACATTATGTCTCATAATTAATGCTTTAATGTATCATATATAATACATTATGTATCATAATTAATTCATTGTGTATCATAATTAATGAAAATCCTGTCTCATTCAATAAGATCGATCTCGTCTTCACTTCATCATTAATTTTAGTTGGAGGACGTAAATTGAGGCATTACTGAAAAGGAGCAATAGTTACTTTCGACTTTATTACATTGCACAGAAATTAAATTTCATAGTTCATTATTTTCAGTGTTCCTCAGCATTTTGAGTTATTTAATTTGTTCCTTTGGCTTTATCTGACAATTGTCAGCGTTACTTAACATATTAAAAGTGTATTTGATAATATTAGAAAATAAGAATTTGTCGAATGTTGCCACCAGTAACAAACCCTGACAGGGTCATAATATGGTGGGTGTCTATTAGGTTACTCTGAAACTCAATCCTAGATTATTAAGGTGGTGAGTGTTCTATGTTAATTGTGAGGATGTAATTAAATGTTAAGATTAATAATATGGTAAGAATTCATGGTATGTGATCTTGTTCTAAGGTGAAAGCAACGTCATTTTGCAATCAATTTAATAAGTGAATACTGAATAGATGATAAGTTATGTATATTAGAGCACCCCACTCAGGGTTTGGTTTAAAATTGTTAGTGTGTAGGAAAAATTTGTTTGGCCCAAAATTTCAGAGTAAAAATAAATAAATTCAGGGCAAAAAATTTGTTGAGACAGGTATTCAGAGAATGCCTATCTTGGAATACTTCAACACTACTATATTAGGAAAGATTGAGGGATTAAATTATGCTGCTAATAAAAGAGAAGCACAATGAATATCTATATGTGTAATCCTCATGTTGCTAAAAAACGCTTTATCAACTTATTATAGTAGTGGAAGAATATGTAAATTAGATTCATTTTAACTTGGTTGTTTAGGCCAATAGATTAAAGATAATTTTTAATTTTAGTAGATATATTTTTGATGATGTGTGATGATGTTTGTGTCATTATATTTTGATTTGATTTGATTTGATTAGGAAAAAGAAACTGGATGTTTAAACACACTATCTGCAGCTAATATAAATGATTCTAAAAACTAATGCAAATGACTTTTTATCTTATTTTAACCATTAATACAAAGGCCATAATCTTTTACCAGCTTCAAGTAGATAATATCCACCTTGAACTTGCATTATATATCCTTGAACAAGACAATATAAACTTAAGCATATTATAGTGTAGACTTTCTGTCACAGAAAGACTACAGTAACAACTATTAACAGAACCCCAAATGTCTGCTAACAATTTTCTTCTGGTCTAATATGAAATCTAACTGAACTAGCGTTTCGATGTGTGCAAAAGCTTTAAGGCACACCCATTCCTTGCCCCCGTTAGTTACCAGTCCTTTCAAAATCAACTAGCAGTCAAGGACAAAAATTCATACACCAAAAGCGCATTCTATTTTAATGAATTGTTCTACATCTTTTTATTCTGTAAAATGTGCTAAAAAATAAATTTCTGTTTCATTGATTCTTTGAAAAATAAAGTAGTTGCTCTTCATGGTGTTGAAATCGCCCCTACATTGGTTATGATTGTGCCTACTGTTAGGCTAGGTAATGGTTATGGGACATTGGACAATCAGCTGGTATTCGATAGACAGATGATATAAATCTTAACAAGAAATTTAACCATACTTTTAAAAAATATCAGAAAAAATTGATTCCTACTTAGCATAATAATTTTTTGGGGGGAAAAATTTATAATATATAAACGGAGAATGAATTCTGAAACGATACGAAAACACTGAAAAACCAAGGTATTCTTATGAAAAATTTGACAGTATCTGCTTCAGCGCTTCGATTTACAAAATACGGTGTAAATTGTCGAAAATATGCGCGGCGCTACCAAAATTTTGGTTACATTTTAAAATTATTTTTTACCAGTTTTATATATTATACATTTGCATTAATCGTTATTAAAAAATATGTGCTTTTAAAAGTTTTAAAATATAGCATCAAAGTAACCAAAATGAAATGCGCGCAAAAAAAGCCAAAAATTTCAGCCACTTTTTTGGACTTTTACCTTAATCTTTATTATATGGTCCATTGTTATAATGGTCTGGCCCGGCGCGCGCTACTTCGTAGCACTTGCCGTCGGGCATTTCCAGAAGAAAAGCGGCGCGCGCGCTACTTCGAAGAAATTAAGACGAGTAACATCCGTTTAAATTTTTACCTAAAGAAAAATTAGGAATTTGTTTTATTTTAATACTATCTTGTGCGCTTATGTTTTAGGTGTTTTCATGTTTTAGAATCCCTAGTGTATCAAACAAAAAATGTTTTTAAGGGCGGGGCGTAAATTAGTAAAGGCTTTTACTACGGGTTCACATAGCATGTGCCTACGCGTACTGCGTGACGCGCTTGTTTCACAAGTAGGATCTTTTCCGCCTCCGGCGGTCGCGCCGCTACTGCAAGCGAGAGGCTCTGGTTATGAGCAATACTACGGGCATTTTCTGCTCGATACGTAGGGACCCCAGATACACCTTACTAGACGATTTTTGACCGTAGAATCGATTAAAAGTGGTTTCGAGATATTTGGACTGCTTTTCCCCGGGTAAAATTGCAACAAATTTTGGGGCCAAAAATAGGCCAAAAAACCATGTTTTTTGATATTTTGAGCAAGTTAATTTTGTTGGCATGTCGGCATGAAAATTTGCATTACATGGAGATAGTTTATAACACAGCCGCTCAAGATGGTGTGTAAAAAATAAAACAAATCCCTAATGTTTTTCTTCGGGTTAAAAATCAAAAAAGTGGTCAACATTTAGACTTTTTTGCACGCACTTCATTTTTGGTACTTATGTGCTATATTTTGGAAATTAAAAATACATATCTTGTAATAACGACTAATTTTAAATATATTGATTATAATTTGGACCAAAAAATTCATTTTAAATGGAACCAAATTTTAGGCGCGCCGCGCATATTTTCGAAAATTTACAGCGTTAGTATGAAAATCGAGCGCTAAAGCAAATACTATCATATTTTCACAAGACACAGTGGGCTGTGAGTGGGGGTCATGCTAGCATAGGGTATTTTTTTTTAGGACCATCACACATGCCCCTAACTTTGTTTCTAAGGTAATTTGGGTACAAAAATACGATTCCAATCATTTACAGGGCCGAAAATGTCTCAGAAAAAAATTTTTGGGCCGATTTTAAGCAATCTTGTAGTCAAAAAATAGGAGGCTGATCCCAGGAAAAGTTGTTTTTTTAGAGGTTTAATCAATTTTAAGCTCTTTTATGAACTGTAAACGAAGGGACAGCTATCTTAGGAACTCAAATCTTTTTGAATTATGAAAAAAATTATTGATCAGAACAAAAGTTGTGCCCATTTTATATGACCAAAATTTTCTGAAACACCAAAATTGTTCCTGTTATTTTCAAAAATTTCGTTTTTAAAATCACGATTTTTGGATTTTTATCAATTTTAACTATAATAATTGGATATTTTGATTTTTCATCCATATGCATCTGGTCTAGGATGCAAAAAATTGCCACAAACATGGAGAATAACTAAAATATGTCAATTTAATAGCAAAATTGAGCTCATAAATTATCTAAAAATGCAGCAAATTTTACCCATTTTTGAGTTTCTTAATTTTGTAAACAGAGTTGCCCAAAAGTGCCCCAAAGTGATCTTTTTTGCTTAAAGGGGAAATTGTTACTTTTTCCCGTTTTTTTACCACCCTTTTTTTACCGAAACTATTGAAACCCCAAAAAAAGTTTCTGTCTTTAAAAATCCCCAAAAATTCCCAAAAAATTTAAACCCCCTTTAAAAAGGCCCCCGGGGGGTCAAAAATTTCAGGGGAAAATTTTAAAAAGTCCCCCCCGTTTTTTTAGATGGCTGAGTTTTCTTTTTTACTATATTTGTTTTTCCCAATTTTTAAAAACCCCTTTGGGACCGGGCCCATTTTTTAAAACCCAAAATAAAAAAATATTAGGCAATTTTTGGAAAAAAAAAGGAAAATTTTTTGCCGTGAAAAATGCTTTTTTTTCCGCGACGCCATTTTGGCCCCCTTGCAAAGTTTTTTTTTTAAAGGGTTTTTTTTTCCCTTGAAAGGGGGCTTAGGTTTAAAAATTTAAGGGAAAAGGGCCTTTTTTTAAAAAAAAAATTTAAAAGAAAGTGGGATTTTAGGCCAAAGCTAGCATGGTTAGCCCATCGTGCAAGAATCCCTTGGTTTTTTTTTTCGTGTTATTTTTTTCCCAATTCGAAATCCTTTTCCCACCCTTTTTGGGCCCTTTTTTTTTGATTTTGAAATCTGATTACAAAACTATGTTTTCTTTGTTTTTCTCTTTGATGTGATTTCCCTTTCATACTCCTATTTTTGGGGCCTATTTTTTTTTTTTTCCCTCCCCTGATTTGGGGGCCCCTTAAAGCATTTGCCCCCAATTCAAAAAAAATTTTTCAGTTGATATCTTTTCGGTTTTTGGGGGGAAATTTCGGTTTAAATTTGGTTTCCCTTTGGTTTGTCAGTAAAATGGCAGGGAAACCATTATACGTCTCCCCCTTTTAATTTAAAAGAAAGTTTTCCTATCGTTTTTAAAGGTTAAATTTGGGGCCTCTTTTTGTGACATATTTTTTTTTCTAAACAGTTTACGGGTTTGGATCGAGGGGTTTTAATTTAATACTTTATTTTTAAATATGTGGGACCAGCAGTACGTAAACATTTTTAATAATAATAAATAAAAAAATACAACATTTTAAAACCGCCTTATACCCTAAATCATATAACTC